AAGGATTTTGTGACCTGATCATAGAAGGCCACCAGGTTGGTCTGACAGGACCTGCCTCTAATGAACCCATGTTGGTTGCCCCTAAGCATAACCTCCCCTGCTGGCCCCTCGTGGACATGCGCCAGGATAATTCTCTCAAAAAACTTACCCAGGATCAAGGTAAAACTAACTGGCCTGTAGTTTCCTGGGTCCTCCTTCCTCCGTTTTTTGAAAATAGGAACCACATTGGCCCTTTTCCAGTCCTCTGGCATCACACCAGAGCACCACGAGCGCTCGTAAAGCCATGCCAGGGGTCCCACAATAACCTCTTCTAATTCCCTCAGCACTCTGGGGTGGAGATCGTCAGGACCTGCTGATTGAAATACATCCAGTCCCTCCAGAAGTTCCCCGACTAGATTTGTTTAGTAGTACCTTTTACTGGACCAGCTATATATTTGGGAGCGATGTTGGATAAGCCTTCAGGCATAACATGCCCTTCCTTATGTATGACCCATTTCTCATTGCATCCAGAATTTCTGTTACCAACATAGCACTTCGCCAGATTTTTCCATAACTTTCAGGAGCTAATTAAAAAAAAAATGTGATCTTTAAATAGCAACTGTGAAATAGTTGTGGTGAATCAAGCCAAGTTAATACAACTAGCTCTATAAAGGTTAGAAGTTTTGGGGCAATTTGGGTTGTTATCCTGTTCTTACCAAGTATATGTGTGTGTGTGTGTGTGAGAGAGAGAGAGAGAGAGAGAGAGAGATTTTTAAACCCTGTATTATAAAAAAGTTAAAAATAAAAGGTGGAAGTACAAAGTGTGTGGGCCCCTGAGGCTGAGCATGAAATGCTTGTTAGTAACAAAACCACCATACAACCAGAGATTAAAACTTGCTTCCCCTCCAACACCTTTCATGGGGCTCCACACACAGGATAAGCTATCCACTTTGAGGTGTGCCCCCTTGATGTCTTGGCATGGCACAAACTAGTCCATATTCTGTTACAAAGTGAAGTATCCAAACTAAAATGAGACGTGCCCAGAAAAGAAGCTGAAGATTTGTAGGGTGGTGTTGGAGTTGGGTTTTGTGAGCCACTTTCTTCAGTCCTTCAGATTCGCTATCTTGGCCTGGCACAGCAGCAAATCGCTCAGGCAGATCACACTCCTGTCTGCTGTTTGGTATGAGATGGAGAAAATGTAAACTGTCTCAGAGAAGTCCAAGGCCAGCATGCCAAAGGGTGCTGAGGGCAGCAGAATGGTCACAGCTGGGAACAGTTGAGAAAGTCATGGAAGAGACCTCCACCTCCTCTTTACAGAAAGGGCATGCCACCAACACTGCTGGGTTTAAATAATGGACAAATGTAGCGCTGGCCAGGGCCCTGTGCAGCAGCTGCCACTGAAAATTTCCAATTCTCTTGGTGATGGGCAGCTCATACAGGGTACACCAGGCTGGGTAGGCTTGCTCTGGTGTTGCTGCTTCTAGGTGCTGCCTACATGTCATGTCAGGGTGGGCAGCAAGGACACTGGCATGATACGCTTTGCCAGTGTCCTTGCTGTACAGTGTCCTTGCTGTCCATATGTACAGTGCCTTCCTATTCAGGATCTCAAAGCAGACCCCAATGCTGGTCGCGTTGGACATGGGGGGAGACAGCAGGGTATGGGGCCTGTTGCTCGTTGTTGGCAGCTGGAGAGATGGGCAGTGGTGGGGATGGCCTGTCTAGCAAGGTACCATCAGAGAGGGCTCAGCCCACCTCTGGTCTTTTCAGTCGAGAGGAAGCAAAGTGGACAGAAGGCTGGCCCAGCTGGGTGGGCTGGGCTTTGACCAGGAGTGAGGTGGACCCATTTGAGTTGAGGAAGTGGATCAACAATCTCTATTGAAATCAAAGGCAGCATTTATATTGGGTCAATGGGGGCAATAATTTGCTCTGATTTCCTATTTATCTACGTTTGCACTTAAATACCAAGACCTTTACATACAGAATCCTACTGGGTGTTCAGCTAATCAGAAAATATAAAGACCTTTTATTTTTGTTTTTGAGAAGTAAGAAGTAAATGTTAATTTGATACATGGTGGAGAACAGATTTATTTTATTTTTTTCCTTGTGTTTTGTTTATTTGGCAGTAAAACACTCTTAATCTCACTTAAAGGTGATCTCAGTTGAATTCCAAGGGAATACAAATCCATTTTACAAGTTAGCACCTTCATGGCAGTCTCAGCAGAGAACTTGCAGACAGTTGAACTATGCTCCACCTCTTAACCTGAATATTAATAATCCGTGTATTATAATTGTATTTTTGCCATTCATAACATCTACATTTTCATGAAAAATGAACAATGGGATGTGTGCTCGGATTTAGTTTCATGTGTTTACAGCAATATGCTCTTCAACAGCTATATGAAACAAACTGCAATCCCTTTCCAGACTCAGCTGCAAAATGAACTATATGTTCAGCCCCACAGGCAATCATGTCACTCTCTTTTTTTCATCATGGATTAGGCACTAATATTCTGTTCAGTCAATCGTATCCTCCATATGGAACCAGGAACTCTAATGAAGCTTATCTTTAACAAGACAAAGACTCTGCCTTGTTAAATGAGAGAAAGAGAAAAAGAACAGAACTTTTCAGGGATTCAGTGATCATAACATATATTTATAAAATAAACTCAACATAGATACTAAAGTAGTAACATTTAACTACTCTTAATGAGCATAGAAAACTATCTTTCACTGTCTGATGGTTTACTATTCAGTTTTCCTTAGCAATTGAGTTGCGTCTGTGAAAACAAAATTCTCAGCAGCTCGTATTTTTGCTGTTTTGGAATCTGGTTGGAGAATGCAGAACAAGAATTTTAACAAAATGTAACAGTGGTGGAACTGGGGCAGCAGCCTTGAGTGCTAACTTGTCAGGGGTGGGGAATGCAGAACTAACATCTGCTGCTGCAGCCCCAAATCACATCAGTGGCACAATCACCATCCCCAGTCACATCAGTGGCACAGCAGTATCCAGAAGTCACCATTAGCTCCATGCATCCTGCTTCCAGGGCACCTGACACGAACACCTCTGGTAACATTTACAGTATTTTTGCTAAAAGCAAGAATGTGCAAAAATGAACCACATATATTTCAATAACTATTTTAATTTTGGGTATTAATCCAATATTTTTACAGTCAGTGCCGTAGCAAGGAGAGGGGCGAGTGGGGCGACTGCCCTGGGCGCGGGGGGGCAAGGGGACAAGGGGAGGGCAGCTCCCGCCATTGCGTGCACTCCCAGGCAAGCACGGGGAAGGCGTCTTCCCCCTGGATCCGTGTTCAGAGTGAAGGTGGGCTGCCACTGTGGGCTTTGCCCTGAGTGCCAAACTTCCTTGCCACAGCATTGTTTACAGTAAGCTAGTTGTGGGAGGGATTTGCTCATCATTGCCAAAACAAAGTTGCATAGTTCCTGGAAATAAAACCCTAAATTAGATGGATAATTTCACTCTCTTTCTACATTTCATTTCTCAGAAAATGCTCCTGGAAGAATCTTTTTAACTTATCCAGTAGTGTATTAATGTAAAATATATTAATCAAGGATAATAAATAGTGTCTGTTTGTTATAACAAAATATTTCAGTGGGTTGTGCCAAAAATGATAAAATAAGGCTTATGAACAACCCTAATTTTGGAGACATCCAGAAAATAGTTGTAAAATGCAAACCTAGGTTTAGATTTGAATTCCCCCAAATTTGTGTGCACTCAGATCTTGGGCTAAATTCACTCCTGGTATGAAAATGGTGTAATTTGTTTGATTTTGATCCTTGATTAACATTTTTGAATTTCAATGAGTTTATGCCAGTTTAAGCCAGACAAATATTTTCTAGGATTTAGAAAATGAAAAGTTTGGCTCGTTGATTTGGGGAGGGTGAGAAGGATAGTAGGGTCACTCAGTTGAATATGAGGCATATGAAAGTCTTGAGAGCCTAAGTCAGCGGTTCTTAACCTTTTTAAATGGAGGCACTCTTCAATAGCCTTGAGGCACCTCTCAGAAAACGCTAACTCCTATTAGTTTCCACTTGTTTTTTAACCTATAGAAAAAGAATAGAGCAATTTTTCTGTTGTATGGAACTCAGAAAGACCACAGCAGGTCAGAATGGTTTTAACACTATGGATTTGTATTTGAAATTTCTGGATTTATCATACAAATTATGTTTGCCCACCTAACAGTGCTAATGTTGTGTGGCACCCTGTGGCACACTTGAAAGAATCTCAGAGTACTCCATGATGCCCTGGTACCCTGGTTTAAAATCACTTGCCTAATTCAACAGAAACATCCACACCAATGCAGAGGACATTGGCTCTTGGAGACTGGTTCTTGTTTAATACTAAAAAATGTTTAATATTAAAAAATGTTTCCATATAACAACATTCACTTTATTTTCATAGAGGATGAAGTAGAGTAATTTGTTTCCTTGATTTCATATTCTTCTTTCATATTCTTTATTTTCAGACTTTCTTCAAATGGCAGTTGCTCATTGTTTAGTACATCATATTCCTCCCTGGAGCTTTACGTTACCTTGCATGTCACCAAATGAGACCTCTATCATACCAGTGCCTTCTGGAGTTGTAGAGACCAGCTCCTGTTTGAATGGGGGCTGTGGAATGGCTGATACCAACCCCATGGTGGGGGTGACCAACCAGAGTTTTCTTTGCTGCCTTTGGAATGATATAAACATAAATTGTTCTTTGTACAAATCAAGCACGGAAACAAAGAGTTTTATTTCTACAGAAATAAGTGTCTTAGCTTCTCTTCACACAGGTAGGTTTGTAATGTAAGTATTTTAAAGGAATTTGGTATTGGACCTCACAGTTTCTTCATTTTTCAAGCAATTTTGGCCGCTTACAGACATTTAAAAAAATGGCACGTTACTTAAAATGCCATGCGCCCCTGTGTCAAGCCCAGCATGTGCCCAAAAGAGGCATCGTGTTAGTTGAACCTGGCTCGCCCAACATCTGTATAGATCAGGTGCTTCTGCGGGGCTTTTATGGCACTTTTATCTAATAGCTGATTGAATCAGCTATTAGATAAAAATGCCAGAAAGCCCCGCTGAAGCACCGAATTTAGACAGATGCTATGGAGTCAGGTTGAACTAATGCGCTGCTTCTTCTGGTAAAATGCGTTTCTCTCCCCCCTCCCCCAAATCTGTCCTTTATTAATTACTTTTTTCCATTTGTATTGGGCCCTGTACAAGCATGAAGGAAAATATTTGCCTCAGAGAGACTGCAATAGAAAAAATAATGATAATAAAGTCAGTGGCAAAATTCCCTTTGATTTCAGTAGGGTTCGAATTTAATCCATCCATCATGGCCTTTTTTGTTAAATAAATCATTCTGAAAAGTATAACCAGAATAATTGTGTTGCTTTCTCATACCTTATACTAGTAGAGCTGTAACAAAAAAAATTGGCGAATGACAGAAACCCGCGCGCGCGCGCGCCCACACACACACACACACACACACACACACACACACACACACACACACACACACACACACACACACACACACCCCTCCCTACCTTTCTCCATTTGTATTGGTAAGCAGAAATTTTTGTAACTGACCTTAATGAAGTCCTTCTTTGTATCTGAACGATATAGTGAGTAATTGCCAGGCAGATCATGACTAAGATCTTCATCTTTAAAGCACTACATATATGCATGTGCTTTCTATAGATTCATTCAAGCTCAAGGAGGCCCCTTCCTAAATATTTGCAGGGATGAGGCCCAGCCGTAACTGCAGATGGGAAAATGTCAGGTTTTTTCTTTTTCACTTCCTGTTGTTTTTGTCCAACACAGCAAGTACATTGATGGTTAAAAATACTGTATTGACCTGAATCCAAGCTGACCCTGAATTTAAGATGACCACCCCCAATAATTAGATTTCATACATGAAAAATGTATAAATGATGCATACATCTTTCGTGTATGAATCTAATTATTGGAGGAGTGTCTTAAAATCATCCCCACCACTGCAGTGGGGAAGGCAGTGGTAGTGGGGCAGATGGTAGGGAAGTCGGTGGGAGGGGACAGGAGGTGGGGAAAGCAGTATGGGGGCAGGCAGGGGAGGGAGCATTTGGGAGGGAGGCAGTGGGGGTAGGGGGGGAGAGAGCAGGTAGCTTGACCTCTGCTGCTTTCCCCCTCCCCCCATAGTTACCCTCCCTTGTGCCTATCCCCACTCTCCCCTTCCTCTTCCACGACAGCCTCTGCCCCCCTCATGTTCTTCCACGTCCCCCTAACCTTTCTCCAGTGCCAGTAGGCTCTGTCCCTGCTCCAGCCTGGGGTTTGGCCCCATAGCAGCAGTGCTGGCTCCACACCAAAGTGGGTACGGAGCCTACTGGTGCCAGAGCAAGGGAGAGGGGCTGGAAAGGGGTATGGCGGGGAGGTGGGGTGGGGAGAAACTACAGTGGGAGGAAAAATGGGGGTGGGAATGGGGAATGGGAAATGACCAGAGGCTGTTTTGGTGGGGAAGGCAGGGGTGTAGAGGTGGGGGAGGGGGGCAGGCAGGCAGGCAGCAGCTGCGGCTCTGGCCCCAACCCAGGGCTGTGGACAGAGCCAAAGCTAGAGTCGAAGCAGCTGCCTGTCATCCCACTGCCTCCTCCTTGATTCCAGGATGAGGGGCTTTCCCCCACCATGTTAAGTGGGGGGAAAAAACTCATCTTGGAATCAAGTAAATATTGTATTGGTGGATTTATTTTAGCTCTTCAAATGTTTTAGTTTTCAGTGTGCTTTAGAAAGCATTAAAGTCTTTCTTCCTGTTTAGATTTGAGCTGGAACACTGAATGTTGGACTAAAGGAGACCTGGAACAGCTAGTCTGTATCTTGAAATTGTCTAAGTCGCACGTGAATGGAGATTTGAAGGTTCATCTTTTATATGCTCTGTAAGTACGAAATGTATTAAGTTTGCCATTGTCAGCAGTAGAAGTGAAAGAATTTCCTAAAGCACCAGTAAACGTGCCACAGGTTTACGGTTCAAAAATAGTATGTCTCATCTGTAACGTTTCAATAGCATTAAGTCTTATAGTGGATAAAATATCCATTTTGACTGTTGGCCTGTTTGTTTTAAGATCATTTTTACATAGGACACAAGGTATTGTCATATATATTTTCAGTGTTTAAATGGTGTATGGGTAAGATGAAATTTCCTTTCTCTTTTTGTCTTTCTCTCATATTTATGAAACTGCTTTTTTTTTGTTTGGGCTAAGTCAAAGATGCTTTGCATCAATATATTGATTTTTGCAACCCTTAATTCCTTTTATACTCAAACTTGACTGTGGTCCCGTCTGCTTCAGTTTACACCTATACTGTTGTGTGTCTCAGTAATTTATCATGGTACAGTAAAAGCTTTGTTATCCGGCATGAGTGCGGTAAAGGGGGATTCCGGTTATCTGGGCTTGCACGCGGCGGTGGCAGTGGCGCGGGGTGGTGGTTGGCAGTGATGGCCTCCGCCACCGCCACGTGCAATCTCCTGCCCCTCCTCTGTGAAATCAGAGCTCCTCCATCTTCCTTTGCTCACTAGGATGCAAGTCCAAACCCCTCACGCCTCACCCACAGCCCTCTCACCCCTGTTGGTGCCCCTAACTCCCCATCTACAGCCCTCTGGCCCTGCTGGTGCCTCTCACACCACATCCACAGCCCCCCACCCCTGCTGCTGCCCCTCACTCCCTACCCACAGCGCTTCACCCCTGCTGCTGCCCCTCACTCTCCCCAACAGTCCCCTGGCCCCGCTGGTGCCCCTCATTCCCCAAATGCAGCAGCCCACCCCCCAACCCCGGCCAGAGGGGGCTACCAGCTGCCAGGGCTATGGGGCCAGGGACCCAGGTCTGCATCCCCCTATCCCCCATAGCAACACTGTGGGGGGGCAGGTGCGAGCTACCTGCTGAGGGCTCAGGGCTCCCCACTCTGATGCCCTCCCCATAGGGCCTCCACAGCCTAACGGGCAGGACCCAGTGTGGTAAGGCAGAGCAGGGCCAGGCAGGGTAGTTCCTTGCCACTGCAAGCCCTGCGCTGCCCTGGCAAGGTGCCCCCTGCCTGCACAGCAACAGTGAGGGACACAACTCTGCACCGCTTCTCCTGCTGCTGCCAAGTGGGCAGGGGGCTCCTTGCCACAGTGGCACAGGGCTTGCAGCAGCAAGGAGCTTCCCTGTCTGGCCCTGCTCTGCCTTACTGTGCTGGGTTCCCCCCTGCTGGGCTGCGGAAGGGCAACAGGGCAGGGAGCCTGAGCCCACAGCCGGCAGCCTGCCCCTGCTGCGCACACAGATCTGGGGGGCACGTGCCCCCCTGCCCCTCTCAGGAGTGCACACAGCAGTGGGGAGCCCGTCTCTCCTCCCCCCGCCCCTCCCTCCCTATGGGGGCCTCTATCCCCCCTTCACCCCACAGACTTATCTGCAGGAGCTGCTCTTCAGGCTCCCTGGCAGCCATGTGCATGTGTGAGCATGTACATGCGCATAGCACCCCCTGCCTGACCGCCCCCCTCTTGCTCCCCCAGCCCCTTGAAGACTGGAACTCTGCCAGCCTGCAGAGAGCTCTTTGCAAAAGTAGAAAATCTACACTTTTCCATTAAGATGAAAAATCCGTGTTTTTCTCAGTTAAAAGGGGGAAATCCATGTTTTTTCCCGTTTTTCAGTGGGAAACAAAAAACCCAGATCCTTTCCTATGTGATAGAGTCTAGCATTTTTGATACACCTCTGAGGGTAAAAGCAGATGTTGTTTTTGTTGCGGCAGCATCTGTGCTAGAATGTGTTCTGGCAGAGCTGATGTGATTGCTCAGTAGAAACAGATGTCACCAGGGTTGCTGTTCCTCTCCTTCTCTCTGAAACCCCAGGAGTGCTGCAGGCCCAACCCTATGGCACAATGGCCCCAGGTACCTGGGCACACATTTCATGCTGCTGTACCCTGATCCTGCAGGAGAATTCCCAGGGCACACAATAAGCGAACAGGCATCCACCCCTGTAACGCATCACAAACTAGATTGTATTGCACAAGCATTTTGGGGCAATTGGAGTGCAAGAAGTTTGCTTGAAACTTGTGCCTCCATAAACATTTTTATGGTACAAAGGCAACAATATTTGTTTGAAGGGTAGCAGATTTTAATGACCTGGAACTTGAGAAAGGTGCCTTTTTTTATATGTTTATGCATTAAATGAAAGGATAATTCAGTGATAAGTGTATGTGTTTACATTTCAAGAGTATCTTGCTCTGCATGTGCGACTGTTGTATTGCATGGCATATATCCCTGATGGATTTTTTATTTTCTGCTTTCCTTTTAATTTCAACTTGTATAAAATACTGGGGTTAACACTTGTGTAAGGAAATATGTTCTCCTTTAATGAAGGTCCACTAGGCTGCTGCTTTAGCTTGTTGGATTACCGTAGCAGTGTGATCTTGCCCTTTAAGTGGAGCAGACAGTAACTCAGTGGTGAGTGACTAGTTGGCAGTTAAAAACCCAAGGGCAGAGAGAGCAGGCAGCTCAAGCTGGAGAAGGGCAGCTGTGGCCAGGAGGCAGACTGAAGCTCAGAAGAGCTTGCTTCTAGGAAGGGCCAGAATTAAGGGCTCTTGCCTGCCATCTGAAGAAAGGCCAAAGGTTTTCTTTTGCTGGTTTGTTTGCTGTTTTGGGCAAGGATTATTGTTTGTGGTATGAGGGCTCCCAAGGGAACAAAGCCAGCTGGCAAGGCTACAGGCACTCGAACCCACTTATGGATTGACTGAGGGGCTCCTAAGGGGACCAAGCCCATCTGTGTGGGAGCAGACACACCAGCTCACTTGCAGTGATCTTGCAGTGAGGGAGCGTCCGCCACCAATAGAAAGGAACATTGGTTTTGTGGTTAATTAGAGTGGATCTGGAAGATTTGGGTTCAGATCCTTGCTTTGCCACAGACTTCCTGTGTGTCATTTGATCTCTGTGCTTGTCATTTGTACAACGGGGATGATAATTGTTCATAGATTCATAGAAGTAGGGTCGGAAGGGACCTTGCAGATCTTCTAGTCCGACCCCCTGCCCTGGGTAGGAGAGAAAACTGGGCTCAAATGACCCCAGCTAGGTAATCCTCAAGCCTCCTCTTAAAGACGCCCAAGGTAGGAGCCAGTATCACTTCCCTTGGAAGTTGGTTCCAGATCCTAGCCGCCCTGACTGTGAAGTAGTGCCTGCTGATGTCTAGTCTGAATCTACTCTCTAACAACTTATGGCTATTATTCCTTGTTCCTCCGGGAGGCGCTTGGGGAAACAAGCTCCCTCCCTTCCCCTGCCGGTCCCCCTAGTAAGTTTATAGACCGCCACCAGGTCCCCTCTCAGCCTTCTCTTGTGAAGGCTGAACAGGTTCAGGTCCCGTAGCCTCTCCTCGTAGGGTCTGCCCTGCTGCCCCCTGATCGTGCGGGTGGCCCTCCTCTGGACCCTCTCCATGCTGTCCACATCCCTCCTGAAGTGCGGCGCCCAGAACTGGACGCAGTACTCCAACTGTGGCCTGACCAGTGTCGCATAGAGGGGGAGGATCACCTCCTTGGCCCTGCTTGTGGTGCATCTATGGATGCATGACAAGGTGCGGTTAGCCCTACTGACTGTGTCCTCGCATTGTCGGCCCATGTTCATCTTGGAATCAATAATGACTCCAAGATTTCTTTCTGCCTCTGTGCTGATAAGAAGGGAGTTCCCCAGCCTATAGGTCTGCTGCTGGTTCTTACTGCCCAAGTGTAGCACCCTGTACTTGTCAGTACTGAATCCCATCCTATTCTCATTTGCCCACCCCTGTAACCTGTCCAGGTCCAGCTGCATCCTGTCTCTCCCTTCTAGCATGCCCACCTCACCCCAAATCTTGGTGTCGTCCGTAAATTTAAACAGGGTGCTTTTCACTCCCTCATCCAAATAGCTAATAAAGAAATTGAACAGTGTGGGCCCGAAAACCGAGCCCTGGGGGACTCCACTGCTCACATCCCTCTAAGTCGAATATGACCCGTCCACCACCACTCTTTGAGTGGTTCATTTCCATTTTTTTCTTTAAAATAAACTTTTCAGGTCAGGGACAGCCTGTTACTATAATTTACCCAATTGGACCCCGGTATTACCTGGGGCATCATGATGCTGCCATAATACAAATAACAAAGTCTAGGAAAACAATAGAGCAGTCAAGATGTATATGTAGTGGTCCTTATTTAAAAAGTCAGCACTGGTCCACAGATACCAGATATCAGTTTTTCTCTGTAGTCAGACCGGGAAGTAACTGTTGTAACTGGTAGTAAAGGTAAATCTTTTTTATTGCCACATGCTTAAAAATACTCTAAAACCAAACACTCATTATGCTTACTGTATCTCTATAATTATTATGCATAGTCTTGTTAGAAACAAAACAGCACTTCCTCATGTTCCACCCCAATGAAATCACTATGTAGAAATATCCAAGTTGGCAGGGATAATTTAGTAACCTGTGCATCAGTTTTGCCATTCTAACCTCCTTAGAATTACAGGTTCAAATTCTAGCCAGATTGTAAAAGCTGTTAATCGTTTCAAGACAGATTTAATCAATGTATTTATTTTGTGTGAGACAAGGATTTTTTTGGGTGGTAACTTGTACTGGACAAACTCAAGGGGTGGAACAAAGATGAAGAAAGTTAGACAAGGTTTTGAATGCAAGGCATTCTTCATCAGGTTCTGATCATTCCTGGACCATCACAGCTACAACATCACTCTAACACTGCCATTTACTCTGTGTGTAACTTTCAAATGAGAGCTTAAAAACAGAAATCCTGTGTGCACACTGAAGACTTTATGCCATCCTGTATATACATAATTATTATGCATAGGCCTGTTAGAAACAAAAAAACACTTCTTCATGTTCCACCCCAATGAAAGCACTGTGTAGAAACATCCAAGTTTGCAGGGATAACCTAG